TATAGAATCTGAAGAGCTTGAACATACGGTGTATGAAAAACTTACGGATATTGATGGAGAAAGCATTACGCATATGGGTCTTGTGATAGATGTGTATGTTTCTCAAATGATTAACGAATTAAAATAAATGTTATCAATGAATTTTTTGCAAGTACAGTAACACTTGAGATCGCAATGTTCTATGAAAAAGAGACGGTTATTTATATGTTCATAAAAATTATCGTCAAATCCATTTCATTTATCTATTGGTGCAACTGTTGCTGTGAGTTTTAGAAGAAAATAAAAATGATGAAAGTTAACAGCGATAGAGAGCCACGAATTGAACATTATAAGCTTAGGAATCTTTAGTGTTATTTGTATCTCCGAAAATTTCCGTAATTCTCACTGGCATATATTGTATTTTACTAATATTATGTTTTAGGCACTCAATTGTTCTTGAAAAGTCTAATAATCTTCCAAAACAAAAATAAATAGCTTTGAAGTATTGAATCAAACTTTCACTTATTCAAAAAATGGTAGACGATATTAGTGAGCAAAAAAGCTTCTGAAAACTTGGAGTGGGGAAGCTCTCAAGCTATAGGTGCTGTTAATTACACAAATGATGTAGAAGTATGTAATACTAATTCTATTAAATATTCTTATATTTAACCTTTAAAATAATTGTATTGATTCTTATCTGACTTTTAAAATTAGTAGATATCTATGAGCACACCACAAAAATCATTTCGTGTGGTATTAGATACTAGAAGTGCAGATCTTTGGATAAGAAGTATTAAATTTTTTTTATATAAAAAATATTGTTTATTAAAATATATTTAATTTGTAATTATAAGATTCCTTGCATCGATTGCTATAACTGTAAAAATAAAGGTTATCTGATTATACTCAAAGTTCTACCATTCAATATAATGGTGATGATTTCTCTATCACTTATGTGGATGGTTCAAGTTTTCATGATTGGATGGAAACGGTAATCAATAAAGTTATCAATTATTCTCTTATAAATATGTATTAAGTTATTTATTATAAGTTTTTATTCTATGCATTAGGATACAGTACTCTCTAAGTTGAATATATGACTATTCAAGATCAGCAATTTGCCATGGTATATGACATGAGTAAAGCATTCCAAAATAATTTTATTGATGGTGGATGTGGTATGTTTGAAATTTTATTTATTTGATTAGCTAATATGCATTTCAATCACTAAAAAGACTTTTTATTTTATAACTGATTTTTTTTCAAACTATCCAATAGGATATAATTCACTTTCAGTATATTCAGGCACTCAGACTTCTTTCACAAAATTGTATAATTTAATTGTTGCCAACAAGTCTAATCTAATTAGTAAGCATAAACAGGTGTAGCGAATCTAAATCAATCTTTCGTGATCAAATATCACCTTTAAAACATACAAACAATTAATAATGAATATACTAAAAATCAAATTGATATAATTTTTAATATAAAAAAATACTTACATAATAATTTTTCATAAAGGTACCTCCAAAAATCTGGATCTATTTTGATAGACAAAAATTTAATGTGTGAATTGAAAAATATGTTTAGAAAATGCTAGAATAAAATACTCACCAAACTATCAGCAAAAGCTATTCAGAAATAACACCAAGATCTAAAGAACTTACTCTTTCTCTCACAAGGTCTTGATATATGATTAAAAAATAATCAGCAAAAATAAATGCATAGGTTGAATAAGTTAAAAATACTTTGCAAAAATTAATGCATAATATAGTTGACCCAAAACCCGAAACCTTTCTGAAACCTTCAAATTAAAATGTTAAAAATTAATACTCATTTGCTATAAATTAACTAAAAAAAACTCTTGAAATGCAAGCTAATTATCATATACTTTACGTTTTGAAGTTTAAATCTAAATTTCTAAACTTTTCTGTATAGCATTTGAGTTTTAGGAAAAGTTTTGGGTTTCAGTTTCAGTTTTAGAAATTTATATATAATTTCAGGTTTCGGGTCACAGCTATAATGCATAAGTTTCATGATAAACTTACAATTAATTGGAAGTGTAACTCCATTGATCTTAATTGACACTTGTATATTACTATTCAAATTACAAAGAACTTGCCATGTTTTTGAAGAAAAATCATATTTTTCTCTCATATTTGAATGCAGCGTTTTTGCTACATTTGTACGTTTGTTCCTACTATAAGTAATGCAGTTGCTGTATCAATTATAACTTGTTGTTTGTTTCTTGAACTTGTAAAAACATTATTTCCATTATATAATACTGCATCAATTCCAACTTGCCAAAAGTGTTGATAAGTTACAGGTGTATACGTTATAGAACCCGTGTATAAACGAGAGTCGATACCGCCAAAGATGAATATTCCACCATAAGTAGTTTTATTTCGTGCAGGACGTAATTGTACTGAAAATATTTCTCGAGGAATTAGACCTTGATTATACATATTTGTGAAAGGAGTCTTAGTGCCCGGATATACTGAAAGTGAATCATATCCTATTGAATTGTTTGAAAAAAAAACATCGTTATAAAATGAAAGTCTTTTTGGTGATTGAAATGCATATTAGCTAATCAAATAAATAAATTTTCAAACATACCACACCCCACAACACCATCAATAACATCAGTTTGGAATGCTTTACTCATATCATATACCATGGCAAATTGTTGATCTTGAATAGTCATATATCCAACTTGGAGAGTATCCTAATGCATAGAATAAAAACTTATAATAAATAACTTAATACGTATTTATAGGAAAATAATTGATAACTTTATTAATTACCGTTTCCATCCAACCACGAGAACTTGAATTGTCCGCATAAGTGATATAGAAATTATCATCATTATATTGAATGGTAGAACTTGAATAATAATCGAACAACCTTTTATTTTTACAGTTATAGCAATCGATGCAAGGAATCTTATAATTACAAATTACATATATTTAATAAACAATATTTTTTATGTGAAAAAAAATTTAATACTTCTTACCCAAAGATCAGCACTTCCAGTATCTAATACCACAAGAAATGATTGTTGTGGTGTGCCCATAGATATTTGACTTATCCACTAATTTTAAAAGATAGATACAATTATTTTAAAGGTTAAATATAAGAATAGTATTTAATAGAATATTTAATAGAATAGTATTTAATAGAATATTTAATAGAATTAGTATTACATACTTCTACATCATTTGCGTAATTAACGGCACCTAAAGCTTGAGAGCTTCCAGCTCTTTTAGATAGTAAATTATCAAGACCAAGATCTGAAGTAATATCAGTAAGTTCTGAAATAATATTCTCAAGTATTTGTGTTTTAATCAATGCTAAAGCATAGCAATATTTAGTACTAATATTGCGATAAGTCAATTCTACTTGATATAATCCATCAGTTGTTTCTTGAGCCAATGACCAGTACGAAAAAGTTAAGAAAAAAATACAGAAAATATAAATTAATTTCATTTTGAATATAAAGGATAGGATAAATTATATGTGAATGGATGAATTAAAATAAGGAGAGAAAGTTGTATAAGAGAAAAAAAAGGTGGAAAGACGGAATTATGAAATCATAAAATTCATCCTTTTGATGAAGAAGGTTATTAAAAGAAAACTATCGAATTTCAACAATATAAGAATAAAAATAACCTTCATAAATAAATTAAATGGTTGTTACACGGCTTAATGTGTACTGTACTATATTGTATAATTAATTATTTGTTATTAAATGCAGTTTTTGTAGAACTAAACTATAGATTCAAAATGCAACACTTGCTTTGTTGTCAGATATTGACGCATATATCGGCATGTATAGATTTCGTGCCCATATAAAGTAATGCGGAAAACATGAACATTCGTACGTACGTACAAAATTTAAAGATTATTCTAATAACTATTAGAATAATTGCTTTAAACTAATATTAATGAAAATTTGTTCGGAATTAATTTTGCAAATATGTATACTTTTTTTGGAATAGATTGCAAATTAGATGAAAATCAGATCGCCTGGTGAACAATGCGAGAAAGCTCGGACGTTTTATTCTAACTGACCATATAGTAAGCGGCAATTTAGTCATGTATCACAAACAGAATTGCGTCAGAAATGTCGGGTAATAAATGGCGGACTTTATTTATTTGTGCCGGTAATACAATCCAAAAAAAGAAATTTAATTTTATTAAATAAACAAATATAAATTTAAAGTTAGGACGTTAGCATTAGAAACTATAGCCATAGAATTTTGCCAATTACATTTAAAACTTCGTCTCTGGCATTTTTAATTAGTGCACCAAGGTCGGTTTAAATACTAGTTTTTGAGAATTTTCTCTTTTTTCTTCTTTCGCATGTGTTCGGAATTCATGTCGGGCTGACGGCACAAATATAAATAGCGGGTTATCAAGTGTATATATATATACATGATTGAAATTAATTAATTTGGTTAGCGTTTTTTGATTGTTTTTCATTGTAGACCAATCAAATAACAATGATAATTGTCCGACAAACTCTATGATCATGAATTATGTGTTATGTTACTATATAATCGTGATCATGTTTACTCAAATTAAAATTTATTGGCCGGATTCATGAACTTCGGGATTTTATTTTCAAAAAATTTCCGATGCTTGATATATATATGGGTAATTATTTTTGAACATGAACCATAAGTTTTACAGTCGTATATTTGATTTAAATTATTTAATAATGTGTGATACTATAGGATTTATAATCTGTGGATTTTCGCTACCAACGTTAGGGTTTTGGTATTTTTGTTTTAACTTTGTTACCCTTGATTAGAGATGCAGTAGAACTGTTATGGCTTATGCCGTAACTTATTACAACATAAAGCCGCACAAAATTAGTATCATAGCGATAGGATGATGATTGGTGATCCGGCCGCACGGCTTTTTTTAGTTAAAAATTTTTTTTTAAAATAATGATAAAAAAAGCTTATTAAAGTTTATTGTTTATCTGATATGAACTTTTTATGTTATTTCCGGAGCAGAGCGGAGGAGCTTAAGTCCAGTCAATAGGTAAGAATAGGTAAGAAATTTTGGGTTCCAACGTCGGTCACAAGTGTGTACAGATTTCATAAGTCCAATCGATCAAAATAATATCAGTTATTGTTTTTAGAAGTACAGTATGTGATGTATGATGACGTATTAAAATTTAACTTCTATAGC